GTGCCAAATAATTGGTTAGTCATTAATCCTACTATATATTTTTTGGACATATGAAACTTTTCAATAATGATTTTTAACATGCAAGGTTATGTTTATTATAATGTTTTATTAAATAAAAAATGAGAAACAAAAATAGAGCAAAGAGAATAATTATTATTATTGCTACTGTATTTAAATTTTTAAATATTTATCTTTTTAACTTTTATATTAATACATTTTTTCTCATGTAAAAAATGTGCTAACATGAATTATGCATATGAATATTAAGCCACAAAATACTATTTTTTGTGAAGGTACTGATAGTAAATTTTGCTTAATCAATAAATATTTTTCAATTCAAGAATTTTTAAATTATTTTTACAATTTTATAACTTAAGTATGTTTTTATATATTTTTGTAACTTGAATAGGTTTCTTGCATTAATTATTGGTTTTGAACCACATGGATTTAGAAGTGAGAATCAACTATATTTCAAAGAAATTTCTTTTGATCCAAAACAATTTTTTTATCGTTACGTAAATATTTTACTATGAATTGATGTTTAATTATTGGCATATATTTTAATATAATCTTTTCAGTTTATTTATAATAATAAATTTTAATTAATAATTTCACAAATTTAAAATATTTTAATTAATAAATAAAATTAATTCATGCATTGCATAGATCACAAATTAATTTAGATATAATTCATATATCTATAAATAAAAATTTTATATATATATAAATTCAGATTAGGTTGGATCAAGCTCAAATTTTATATTTTTTATCTAAAATTTTGTTCAAAATTTACATGAGTATTTTTATTTTTTATTTAAAATTTCTCGAAACTTGATCATATCTTTAATTTTAGACAAATATTCCCATTTTTTATCAGGTCTACTCTATACGTAAGAAAGCCAAAACCAAAACCAAAGCTAGTTATTTCGTTCTGTTAGCCCATGGAAAACGCGTTTCCGTTGGATTGGGTTAGGTGGGGCATATCTATCTCTAGCCTCATGCCTTCCAGGTACGGACCTACTCGCTTCTTTTTTCCTTTTTTTTTTCATTTTTTTTTCTCTTGTAAAACATTTTTATTTGAAAAAAAAATAAAAATATGACATGTCAAAAATTTTAAAATAAAGAAATAAGTCTGGTGCCTAAAAACATAACAATATTTACTTTTAATATATTTTTTTATAATATGATTAGGAGTAATTTAGATTTAATTTGGACTTAATCTCTTTTGAATACAAATTTAAAAATGCATTCTTCCAAATCAAGTTAATATATTTAAGATTTTTTTTTCAGGAAATATTATTAATAAAAATCGAATCCTAATTAGCAATAAAAGAAAATCCTTTCTTTCCTAACCGAAGCTAACTTTCGACGGTCCTTTTTAGTAATTTAATCCCTTACCATCCTACCAACGACATTCTAGTGGATTAAACTTGTCCAATGGCACCAAATGCCACCTTAGCGTGCTTTATGGAGTCCAACTATGGCCTGGCTCAAGGTGGGCAGATTACCAAAAAAAAAAAAAAGCCCTTAGGCTTTCATATTTAGTATTTATTTATTGTTTGAGATTCATTTGAATAGTTTGTGAAATTAATTTTAATAAAATTAAAAATAATAATTAAGATAATATTAATTATTATAATAATAAAATTAAAATTAATGGAATGATATTTATTTGGATATAAAAATAATGACAATAATGAAGTAAATTATAATGAAAAAATGGTTATTAATAATATTAAACAAAAATTATATATAATAAAATTTTAAATTACTTATTTATAAAATTTTTTTATTAACTAATTTGTTAATAAATAATAAATTTTATTTAAATTATTTATTAATGTATTATAATAAAATTTTATTATATTAAAGTAATAAAATTATTTTACAATTTTATAAATAAAAAATATTGACCGTTCAACAACTGACAAAAATAACCGGTTAAATGATTGACCTTTATTGGACGGCAATAGAACACGATTTAAATGCAAAATATGATATTGATACATCTTTTGAGGACAACTGTAACGTAAATGATGGTGCGTTGAAATTCAAGCTCACCCTTTGTAAGAGTTATCCGAACGCAAATTTGGAATTGTGAAGCTGCTGCCTCACTTTCAGGCAATTTTCACACCACTCTCATGTCTCTCGTTGAAACTAATGGGAAAGCAAAAGCTATGGTTGGTGAAGGAACAGTGGTGATAAAAACCAGCCCACGATTAGAAAAAAAAAATGTAGAAAATATAAACACATAAATATTTTATTTTTTACAAATGAATAAATTATGACTGTAGAATTAAAAAATCAAGTGAAGAAAGCTCAGCCGCCCAACCAAAGCTTCCGTTGTGTCTACATGTCTTATATTTCTTCCCACACATACCATCACCTCACAAATTCTCTAGGGGCGTGCCACCACGCGCCACCACATAGGAACATGTTGAGGTCAAATGTTTGGTGAACTCGCCGAAGTGTTTGACTAACTATGCGAGTCCTTGAAGTAATTAATTTATTAATAAATGATAAAAATTAATCACCAAAAAAACTCCAAAATTAATAAAATTAAATCAATGTAATTTTTTTAAAAATATTTTAAATTTAATATTGACAAGTATTTTTTTAATATAAATTTTATAAATAATAGTACATTTTTATATTAAATATCCACATTATATTTTTTATTTTGTTCAGAATTAATTTTAAATATACTAACAAAACATTTAACGTGATATTCCATTTTCATTAAATGTGATCTAAAAATCATAAAAGTAAAATTACAATCACAAATTTCAATCAAATCATAAATACAGTGGCAAATTTTAATATCCACTTTATAATATAGTGGCAAATTTGTCCTTTAACTCAATTATTAAGTTTTATTTATTTAATCAATACATTAAGAAGTATATATATATTCATGAACTTGGTTAGTATATGACTTAATAAATAAGTGCTTAGATCTCCTTTAAAGTGCCTGTATCTCCTTACCAAGAAAATTAAGTTCAAATCTCAATTTTTTTTTTAATAAAAAAAAAGTGTATATTACTTTTCATTTAAATTTGTTACGCATACTTGTTTTGTTTACGCACCTTTAATAATTTTTTATAAAAGGTTAAATATAAATTTGACCGTTATACCATACAACTTCTGTTAATTTTATACAATTAAATTAATAAATATTTTTGGAATGAAAAAATGTGTAATCATTTTAATGTTAAACCATATCTTTATTTATTTATTTTTACCGTAAAAGAAGGGTTTGATATATTTTAAAACTAGGTTTTTCTTGAACGTACAATAATTATAATTGACAATATTACTAAATCTCTCCCTTTCTTGCGTTCTTCCATCAAGACTACAAACATTTTCCACTTTCTATTTAATTAAGGAATGTAACTACTCAACCCAGAGATCGGGTCTCCTCCCACACTATTTTCTAAATTCCACCAACGTTATTTTTTTTAACATAATTGGGGCTATTTTCAATTTTTTTTTGTTTAGATTTTTTGAATAATCATAAAATTGTATTATTTTATATTAATTTAATACATTAAAAATTTTATTTTTACAAAAATTAAATTCAAATTAATAAAAATTCTCCTCTTAGTAAAACCAGTATTATTTCATATTTTTTCCCATTTAAAATTTATTTGGTATGAAAGATGAAAAGAAGTAAGGATGAAAAAATTTATTAATTTAATGATTAAAATTCATAACAATTTTTTTATTTTATAACTTAATTATTAAATTAATAAATTTTCTATCTTCAACCATTTTTATCTTTCAAACCAAACAAATCTTTAGAGCAATTGTCTAATTTATTTTTCTCTTTCTAGTGGAAAGTGTTCCACACGCTCCCATCTAAAGCAAGTGGGGTTAAAATAGAGAAAATAAGAAAGGGCTTGGCACAAAGTCATAAAAGTTACTTGCTCAGCTTGAAAAACTCTAAAAGCATGAGATCACAAAGGATGAAGAAATCAAAATCAACGATGGAAGAAAATTTCGATAGAGGAATTTGCACGTTAGATATTTATATTTTATATATTAAATTAAGAACAAAGAATGTGGAAAGTATCGGCACACCTAAAGTAACTAAACCAACATTATTCTTTTCTCCATTGGAGAATTTGTTTACAATAAGGTTACCCCATTTAGACTCCTCAACTTCTTTCCCAATCTTATCCATTCATTCTTACTAAATCAACTCTTTATTTTTTAATTTTTTATTTATATTACATATAATCTTGATTTATTCAAAGAAATAATTCTCTCTTATTCCATAAACCGCGTCATTGTACTTTAATATTTGAATTTAAAATTTTTAAATTTTTATCGATAAAAAATTTATTAATTTAAAAAATGTAATTCGCAACAACTAATTTGAAATTATTTGCTTAATCTTATATAACATGAGACGATGGAAGAATGGTTGTTCATTTACGGGTCAAACTGAAATTAATCCGATTCCCATACATCTCAAAACCTTGTAATTAAATCTTCCCATTAATTATTCAAACCATCAGTTGGTCCAAAACACATGGGTCCACAATCAAATATACGTACGCTATTCATTTCATTAAACATTATTATAAATTAAATCATATGATGACATTATTATTATTTTATATAATATGATGACATTAAATTAATGGGTTAATATAATGAATAATATTTCAATTATAGTAAAATATTTAATAAACTATTTGAATTTAAAATTTTTTTAATATAATACTTGAATTATGAATATATTAATTAATAATATTTATTCTTAATTAATATGATTACACGTATTAGACAAACAATACTAATTGACAAATTTATAATTCAAGTATCATATCAAAAATTTTTAAAATTTAGGTATTAAATTAAATATTTTATTATAATTTAGGAGTTATTGAATACATTAACCCTAAATTAATCCATGATTTAATTATTTATTTTCCACTAGTACTATAAAAGAAGGGGTAGGCTTAATACGTACGATTCAACTATTTGTTCAGGAGAGGAAGGAAAGGAAGGAAGAAAAAGCCCTTGCATTTCTCATGAACTGTGGAGTCGTCTTGGGTTTCTATTGTTGGGGTTGGGAGTTCTTAACTGCCCTTCTTCTCTTCTCCCCTTATCCTTGAATCTCTTCTTCTTCTTCTTCTTCTTCTTCTTCTTCTCTTTTTTTTTTTTTTTTAAATTTTACATAATATACATCTCACTTTCTAAACTTGGAAATTCATTAATGGAGTCTATGGCAAGTGATCATAATAAGGGTTTGTTAGAATATGTTAGGAAATCAACACCACCACCATTTTTGTTGAAGACTTATATGCTGGTAGAGGATCCGGCAACCGACGACGTTATATCATGGAACGCCGAAGGAACAGGGTTCGTGGTGTGGCAACCGGCGGAGTTTGCTCGTGATCTCCTTCCAACACTTTTCAAGCACAGCAACTTCTCTAGCTTTGTCCGGCAGCTTAACACTTATGTAAGTAGATGTCAATAATATCATGGCAACCATTTTTTTGTACTTCCATAATAAAATTCTATAACATCAATTTCTATCGTTTTGGTTTAGTTGACTTGGTTAGAAAAATAGATTTTTCTTTTTCTGAATATATATATATATATATATATTTTAATGCATGTCTCACCAAACTTACTCAAATATATGTATTTTCAATGTTTGACCTTATATAGATAATTAGAACGAGTCAAGAATTTTGAACCCAAGATTTATCTGGTTCATTTAATTATTTTTAAGAAATTTAAATTTTAGTATTTATAATTTTTTATCTTAAAATTACTATCTCTTTTATTAAAAAAAAATTAAGTCAACAATTTTATATGATTTGTTGGTTTTTTTCTTTAAAAGAAGAATGAAAGCTAAGGGAAAACAGAAGTGTAAGGTTATTGGCCTAATATGATAAAACATTTCTACATATATTTATCAGATTTTTATTATTTTTATGGCTAAATTGTGGAATTTGTTTTATTATTATAAGATCAAAACTTGTTATGTTGATATAATTTTACTAGTCAAGATCAACTTAGGTCAATGCTTTGTAATTCTAATTAAATGATATTTAAATAGTTTTTCCAAGTAATTTTCTGGTCAAAGAGAGAACAGTACACACACACAAAAAGAAAAATAGACAATAAATGTATTAATTTGAACCAAAATTTTCAGTTTATTTATTATTTGATTTTTGTTTTTTTAATAAAAAAATAAAAATATCAACCAAAAACGGAACTATATCATGGATCTCGCTTGACTGACGATCTTTGGACGCTTGATTATGAGCCCAAAGCTCAATTTTGGCACTAAACCCTAACTAAATATACTTGCTAGAATTTTAGTCAGTTGAATAATTTATATAATATATAGGGTTTTAGGAAAGTTGCGACTAGCCGATGGGAATTTTGCAACGATATGTTTCGGAAAGGCGAAAGAGAGCTACTTTGCAATATTCGAAGAAGAAAAGCATGGGCCAACAAGCAACAAACTGGCGCAGCAATTCAAGTCTCACCACCACAGGAGTCCGACGAAGATCAGAGATCTTCGTCAACTTTTTCGTCTTCAGGATACAACATCCTAGTCGACGAAAACAAGCGTCTCAGGCAGGAAAATGGGGTCTTAAGCTCGGAGGTGACAAGCATGAAAAGAAAATGCAGGGACCTTCTTGACTTGGTGGCTAAGTATGAACAGTTCGAGAAAGAAGAAGATGATGACGATCATGATGATAATGACAGTCCGAAGCTGTTCGGAGTGAGGTTGGAAGTTGGAGAGAGGGAGAGGAAAAGAAGGATAGCAGAGATTATTAGTGAAAGCGCAAGCATTTTACTGTCTCAATCATGCAAATAATATATAATTTCATGTTGTAGAAATTAGAATAATGATTAAGCTACTTCAAATGAAAAAAAAAAATTTGTAGCAAAAATTAACATATAGATTAATTAGGTCTTTAATTGCGAGCATGTAGTGATAAATTTGCATGTGTACATTACATGTTTATGTGCCCTTTTGGTTGGTGTTTGAATCATGCACAAGCCTCCTTACTACACTTATTTTAATGGTTGAAACAAGGCCCCTATGTTGTTGGAAAACGTTTTCTTCATTTTTTTTTTCCCTCTTTGATTCCTTTATCTCTCATTTTCGCCTTTGATAATACTAAAAATTATTGTAATTACAATTTGTATATTCTAAAACTCTCTTTAAACAAAAAATTTAGCTTTAAAATAAATTATTAATGTATCAAAATAAACTTAATAAATAAATTATTTAATAAGAGATAACTGTATAGATCGAATTCAATTTGATTTTTTCGAATAATATATAATATTATAAGATTTTAAAATTCAATCCGAATTTAAATTGATTTTTTCTTTAAATTAATTCGATTCGAATCAAATTTTATCGGTTCGGTTTAGTTTGGTTTATCGATATTTAAATTTAAACTTTAAATTTTTTGTCTATTAGTTTAATAAGATTTTTAATATATTTAAATAAATTTATTTATAAAATAATTATTTTTATTTTATAAAAATTTAAAAAGTATATAAAAACTAATAAAAATATATAATTCGATTCATTTTTTTTTCATTTTAATTTGAAATTCAATCTTAACTTAATATATATATATATATATTTAATATTCAAATTTAATTCAAATCAAATCAAACACTACAATTTTAAATCAATTTTTGATTTTTTTCAAATTTTTTCCTACCCTACAATGAAACAAAGCCTAATAATTTCCAAAAGCTTACACAAATTTCCACCGACCATATATGACCTCGGAAAAGCATGCTAAATTCTATAAAATACATACTCTAATACAAATTTTTATGTTCTTTTGTTGAACCCCGTTTTCTATTACTTCAACTGATTTATTTGTAAGAAATTGTCCTCTGCATCTGACAAAACCTAAGACCTAATAATTAACATAATTTTTCCTTGTCCCTAAGAGAGTGCAAATGCATAAAAAAAAAAAATCTAATAAGTATAGAAATAAATTTTCATAGAATTAAATTTAGGAGTAGTTGGCTGGTATGTGTTAAAAAGATTGACACACATGTCTTAATTCCATTTAGTCCTTCAATTTTGTCAACTAGGACAATTGCTAGAAGTTGATTTTCTTGGGTGCATGAAAGTGGCACCTGATTTTCTCTAAATTTGCAAATCAAATTATTAATGTGGTCCACTATTCATCCATAGAAAAATAAAATTGTTAAAAATATGATTGACATATGAACTAGTATCTTTTATTTTCTAGAAGTTGATTGAAATGCCTCCTCTTTGACATTTTGCTGGTGCTAAATAAAAATGAAGGTAAGACTGATCTATATGATTTGGAAATAATTGATGTCCTAATTCGAAATGATAAGAACAACAATATATAAAGGTATAGAAATTTGAATTCAAAAAAAGAATTAATTAATTTATGTAATTACCCTTAAGATATGATATTTAAAAAATTTAAGTTCGAATCTTATGAATTTTTTATAAATATATATATATATATATATATGACTAGCAAAAATTATTGTTGAATGGTTTGGAAAATCAGCTCAAAGGGTACAAAACAAAGTTAACAAAAAAAAAAAACAATTTCAGGTATTTAATTTCAAGATTAATCTTATGCATTAAAAAATGAGTTAAATGCAAATTTTAAGAAAAATGCACTGATTGTTGTAATAATTTTTTACTTTGTACCTATAAATGAAATCAGTCCATTGCTTTCTTTGTTTCTTTTTGTAGAATTAGAAATTTCAAAGTGGTTGGGCAGTCTCAGTTGAAGAAGTTGGTTTTTGCTTTCAAAAATTGGGGGTCATGCTGTGATTGCGGATCAATTTGCCCTTTTTGTCTTTGAAACTTTAGTATTTGTGTTATTGTAACAATTTTGCCTTTCTTTTCCTGTCGTCAATTGCTAAAACTTTAAGGCCTTGTCTCTCTTTTTATAACTTAATTTTCAACGTTCTAAATTATTTTTTACCCTTTTTTTTTTACATACCTTCGCACGCGCGTGTATATATATAGTTTGAAAGTTTGATACGAAAAATTCATCTAGATTTAGTTTGAATCTAAATCTAATTTAATCTTATTTGATTAAGAAAAAGTCAATAATCCCAATTTATTTAACTTGAATTAAAAATGATCTAAATCTGAAATAGTTTACACGTAAAAGATCAAAATATTAATTCAAAAAGGTTTTAAATTATTTGAATTTGATTTTTTGAAATTAAATAATTGGAGTGTCAAATCTTAAAAATCAAAACTTGAAATAATTTCAATTAAAAAATCTTAAGCTTGAAACTTTCAATCGATACGTGAAAATCTGAATTCAATTTGTGAAATATTATTTATTTTAATTTAAAAGTTTTACGATTTTGTTCAACAAAAAATATTTCATAAATTTAAGTTTAAGCTTTAATTTATATATTATAACAAATTCTTAAAATTTTTTAATGTCAAATTGAGATGTCATACGATAACAATTTAATTCAAATTCGGCCGAATCATTTCAATTATCACTGTTATTATATATACATGGCATCCCCCCCCCCCCCCCCCCCCTTCTCTCTTGTTCTTTGGTACATAAGAATTTTGAACTACTGCCCATCTCCAAAGTGGAACTTAAATCTGCAGGATGGAGCAGGAATAGTTGGTTATTTTAATAATTTTATTATCAAATTTCAATGTTGTGGAAACAAGAAGGAAGATTACTTCAATTATTATAAATGTTTCCTAATGATTAGAAAAATATATCAATAAAACAGTGAATATCTAGACTTTGAAAGAAAGGGAAAGAATATGAGAAGAGACAGAGAAAGAAAGTTCGTGTTAAGATTAATCTTTCTTGAACTTTACTGTAAATTAGGGATTAAGTTAAAATGAAAGTTTGAATTTTGACGGAAGGAGTTTTACTTGGACAAGTTCAAAGTGTTATAGAAATTGTTTGGATTTAGATACACGGCAATGCCATAGCCTTGCCATCACCAAAGGACACTTTGGAAACATACCCTGAAGAAAGAAGCTCATCACAAAGACTTCCGAAACTTCATTTTGACCACAAAACCTGGAATGGAAATAGATACTATTTTTTTTCTCTTGAACGACCGGAACAGAAGTAACTAAGATGGGTCCAATTTTCAGTCACTGACGTGAAGAAAGAAGTAACAAGAGACGATGAAAAATCATATCTTATTAGCCTGATTTCTCTACTTTTAATCGAAATTGCAATTTTAAATTCTAACTTTTGAAATGTACCGTAAGAACATTTGAGCCATATGCTTCATGATTTATGCATCTTATTTAGCTTGGCTTTTCAACTCATCATTTTTTTTTTTTTGGGTTTTTTGTCATGAAAAATTACAACCTTAAGCTCGTTCAAACAAGGTAAAAAAAAAAACCTTTTAATCCTACATTTGAAGAATATATGAATAAAAAATAATATATATAAAAATCTAAACTCAAAATCTGTCAGGTGTTTTTTATGAGAGAAAATCATGATACTTTTAGGTTATAGATTGCATACAGATCTTTACAAATAATCTTTTTTAATTACCCATTTTTCCCTTTCTTTCATATTTTCTGTCAACCAAATAAAACCTAATTATTCTCATTGCTACTAGGAAGGGCACAGGCGTAGATATTATTCATCAAACTTCTCAACGCTGCCTGTCCTTCCAACTGCTCGTCAAAAAAAAAAAAAGCATATGAATGAAAATCCCTATAAATTTGAGAGGCAAAATTTACATTCCAATGTGCTCTGGTTTCTGCTATAATTATACATTGCCTGTTTTTGATATTTACATTTGCCCTGAAAGTGTAATGCAAAGAACAGGGGAAGAAGATTATGCAAATGTGAACCCTGTTTAAAAAAGGGTCATAAATGTTTGTGATCTATCATGAATTAGACGCAAAATGATTGAATATAGTCTCAAGTGTTGATTGGCTGATGCTGTACTCAGCTATGCCCAGTTGATTTCTGATATGAAATTTTCAAAAATCAGTACCCTTGGAAAATCCCCCAACAAATGATAAAAGGAAAAGGAAAATGCAATTAGAGAAATGCTTACCTGTTTCTCTCCAGGTGACCAAAAACATCTGCTAGCGAATGACCCTCCCTATATGGCAACTGCATCAAAATTCTGAATCAGTTACCGTTACTCAAGCTAAGATAAGAAAAACAATGTTGTTTCAACCACATCTAAAAACCATAGAGCAGCAATAATGTAGAAAACATTGATTATATCAATGAAGAACAGATCTATGACAATGAACAAATTCTTATGCTTCGGCTAGGTACAAAAACTTGAGGGCGTGAAATTGGATTCTGGTTTATTATACAAAATTAGAATAAATTTGTATAATTGATGAAAATTAGTTAAGGTTTATGTATTTACCGATTCCAAATGGCATTAGACAATGAATATTGAACTAATTCTGTCATTTGGATATTTCAATCAAGTAGTGATAAAGATCTAACAAATTAATGAATTTGATGATCAGAAAAATAATGTTTTCACAAGCTTAATCATATAATTTATATTGAATTTGAAATAAAAATCTCTGCTTTCAAATTCAAGTTCCCAAACACAACCTAAAATCCTTCTTCCTCTTTTAAGAGAAATTATAATATCACAGGCTTCAATGATCTATCACTTTTTTTCTGGCTTACTATTGTTTGAAAAAACTTATGTATCACCATACACAGTGGGGTCAATGTAGCCATCCTAATGTTTTTTTAGCCAGGGGAAAGAAAACTTATGATACTGAAGTAACACATTCACCCAATTAAATTTCAGCATGATGAAAGGCCAACAAAATTTTGCAGTGCAATGATTCTAATGGGATGTACTTATCTCAAGTAAAGGAAAAGTACAACAAAGACAATGCCTATCATTTTCCTAGAAAGCAAATCAGTAACCAATAATGGATCCTCTAAGATGACAAAATTGAATAGATTTAAAGCATAGCAACAGAGAAATGTCACATGAAAAACAAAGAACAGTAGTAAGATTGCAAATGAACCCATTCCCTAGGCTAAGAGCCATAGAGAAGCATTCAGCCTCTTTATGGGTATATTATGGTCTTT